AAAATTCATTATAAGAAAATACAGGTAGTACTTTAGTATAGCAGAATGGATAACATCCAATTAGTCTTATGAATAAATATATTAAAATTCTTGTAAATGTAATAATAACAAATGTGTGACAACAGGAATATGTCACAGCCAGAAGAAAAATGACACTTGGTGATAATGTCTAGCTGAAGTAATCCCTCAATAGTCAGATTATAATGGATGTGCGATAATGTCATTGCAAGAAACAAAATACAAACCCATGTACATGAGATTTGACAATTATAAAATCACAGATGACAGAACACTGAAATATTTTCTTCATTTAACTCTTCCACCATTGGAAAATTCCACTGTTTTAAGAATCCTCTCCTAACGGTAATTTTTTAATCCATAATTTTAAAACTAAGCTATGCATGTTTTTGTTTTTCACATTAGTGTTATGCATCTATCCTACTAATACATATATATTGATATTAATTCTTTCATGTTGATAGTGAAATATGACTGATGCCATTTGAATGCACCTTATATATCAAGTGTGTTAAGTAAACTTATTACCTCATTTAATTTTCCTGTATAAAGGCCTGTTTACCAGTCTCAGCTGCATTAAATCACTTATTCCTGACCATAAAATCAGACATATACCCAAAGCCTGATAAGAGGCCTTTAGCACAGTTGGATGTGATCTAACACACGCTCTACAATAAAGAAACAATAGCACACTTTTTTACATTATATTAATTAATTATCTGTTCTAACTTCTTAAACCTCTTACTTGGTCCAAATGGAACAAATACAAGTTATCTCAGTATGTAGCTTTTGAGCAATTATTTATTAGTCTGAACTCTATTGTAATGGTTTCTCTTTTTTCCCTTCTTATTTTTCTCCCTTGCCCTTCTTCCTCTTTACTTTTCATTCTGTTCCACATAAGTAAAGTAATCCAAATGTCGTTCAGCTCATGCAAACTACAGTATAATAACCAGACCCTAATTTTAACATCGCTGCATTTTATTTTACTATGGGCAGCTTCATGTTTAGCTGTCCAAACAGTTTCATCTCTCGGTTCTCTTGATTGTTTCTATTATCCACCTCACTACTTCCTGTTAAACCTAAAAGTTTGAGTCACACAAATATTTCTGCAAGATTCAGTTTATCCATTAACATTTATTGAGCACTAATTAACTTCTTGATAACAAATATGTAAGGGTAGAAAATAGAGAATGCCTATGACTTGGGTGGGGGTGGGTGCCAAGGAGATTTTCCATTGAATTATAGCAATACAGAACAGATGGACTGTCGCATTACACCATTAGGACAAAGCAATAGAAAAATACCCAGTAAGGCTCAGAAAAATATAAATGAAATAGTATTAAAAATGCATTTGTTGGGGCTGGACAGATGGCTCAGCAGTTTAAGAGCACTGACTGCTCTTGAAGAGGACCCGTGTTTGATCCCCAGAACCCACATGGCGGATACGAACCATCCTTAACTCTAGTTCCAGGGGAATCCAACACCCTCTTTTGAACTGCGCGGCATTGCATGACATGGGTCACATATGTACCGGCAATACATTCATTCACATAAAATAAAAATAATAAATAAAATATTTTTTTAAAAATGTATTGCATCCTCATTGATTATTTTCTTTTAAAATGTCTCTTCTTATGAAGCATAACAAGGATATAACAGCAAAGCTAATTTATTTGTTTGTTTGAGACAAGGTCTCCCTCCAGTCCCAGCTCGACTGGAACCCATTATGTAGACCAGGTGGCTTCAATCTTTGAGAGATCTGCCAGCCCTCTGCTTCCAAGTGTTGGGATTAAAGGCATGCACCACTATACCTGGACTTGCAAAACTAATTTTAATAATGAAAAAATGAAATAGTTTAACATTTCCTCAATTAATATTTCATAACTGAAGGAAATAAACTGAATTATTACAGATGTTTTATATGAAATCAAAGCTTGGCATATTTCTGTTACAAAGATTTCAGATTTCCTTTTCAATACATTCCCTGACTCCTACTGACTTTGTTACTTGTAGCTTTGTTACTTGTAGCAAATGCAGTCCATAGTTGTGAATTCTATTCCAAAATTTGGAGTGTGTTACTATAAAATTTGGCCTGCAGAACTTGTCAATACAGAAGGGACTTCTTCTGGACTTTGCTGTCCTTCCCATTAGCTTTATAGTAATTAGCTTTAGCTAAAAATAGATGAGGACACTTCCAGCTTTTAGTTTCCAGTTTATAAACATAAGACATACTTTCACCTACTTTGAATATCTAATTACAAGTCAATGCTGTTATTCATCTGTGATCATCTAATAGTGTGATTTGGCAGACTTTCAGCATTTTTCTATCCAAACTTGTTGAATAAGTGCACTGGATTTCATTAGAGTCATCAAATACTAGTTCCCTGAAGGAAAATTTGAATCTACAGACACCTGCTTATACTTGGCAAGTTGCTCTGATTGAAAAACTGTCCTTTGAATTTAAAAACCACAGAGAATTTTTCTGACATTGAACAACATGCTTTCCAGAATGAAGTAACATTATTGGTGATATATCTTACCTGGAAAATTTTGGGAGATACTGGAGTTCTTTACTCTAGAAGAGATACCCAGTACAAACTGTGATGGTTAAGAGGCATATCCAGTGTGCCAGTTCGGATGTAGATCGAGGCTTACACTCCACTTTTCCAGGAGCTTAGCCATATATATTTATCTCTGAACATCAATATCTCTGTTTTAAAAGGGAAATTAATTCTTCTTAATAATGGAATGGGTATGAAAGTTAAAAATGATGTTTTAATGCTGTGTTCTAGTTTGTTTCTACATTGCTGTGACAAAATACTCTGACCAATACAAACTTGGGGAAGAAAGGTTTATTTTATCTTACATCTCCTGGGTCACAGTTCATCAAGTAGCCCAAGGTAGGAACTTGAGGCAGGAACCTGGAGGCAGAAGCTGGAGCACAGACCATGGAGGAATCCTGCTTACTGGATTGCTCCACTGGCCCATACTCAGCCTGCTTATATAATGCAAGATGACCTGCCCAGAGGTAGCACCATGCACAGTGAGCAGGGCCCTCCTACGTCACTCAATAATCAAGAACATGCCCCACATACATGGTCACAGGCCAGTCCAATGGAGGAAATTTTCCAACTGAGGCTTCCTCTACCCAGGTGTGTCAAGTTGACAACTAAAGATATCCAGCACATACTGTAACTCTGTTATAACGTGCTCTCAAAAAATCGAGAAAAAAGAAAATTCACATTAATGATTTTGAACTCTAAATTGTACATTTGTCCACAATAGATAAATCCCAAAATATATTTTAAAATAATTATTTCATATTTTTTCTTTTTCTCTGTTGCTGCCTTCTATTTTTTTTATTTTACCTAAAAACAAGAATTAGTCTAAGTACTATAATCAACCCTTCACATGATAGATTGTTCAGATGGCTTAGCATTTAAGAGTACTGCTGCTCTTTCAGAGGACCTGGTTTGGTTTCCAGCACCAACATGGTCACTAACAACTGTCTGTAACTCCAGTTACAAGGGGGTTGATGACTTCTTCTGGCCTCCAAGACTACTGAATGCATGTGTGCACTTACACACATGCAGGCAATATACTCATAGATATAAATGAATCAAAATAATTTTTTAAAGCTTCACAATTATGAAAGAGCTGAGGATAAGAAGAAAATACTAGATGTGTGCTTACTAGATGTGTGCATAAAATACTGAAAAATAAATCTGTATATTTATGGATGTTAGGGGTTAAAACATCAATTCTTTGTAACTATAGTATTTTGGAGCATAGCTACTGGATTACCTAAACCTTTTAATACCACTTCCTCTCAAATTAAATAGAAGTGACTTAGAAATATTAAAAATGAAATTATGATTTACTTATTCTTTATTTCTAAAAGAATAATGA